TTTTATCAGGAAACTTACAGACAGAGTAACTATAATGCGCCAAAGTTGTCTTGAATATACTAAAAAAAAAAAAGAAAAAGAAGAAAGAAAACAGGTTAGGTTAAGTAAAGGTGTGACGTATTTTTGTCAATAGATTCTTCAAGTAAAGTTTAAAAAAGCTGAGTATAAACAAACTGTGCATATAAAACTCGTATTGAGGTATAGGGACAATTCAATGCTTTTACTACTTCCGATCTGGACAAAAAACTGAGACAATCCCGGTTTTCCTGTCTGGTAAGGCTAATCACGCTATATTTTCTTCGTACAAAAATTCAAACACAACTGAATACCTACTTGGCAAAGGTAAGTGACCAGTTCCAGAGTCAAACAATGGTCACGTGACTTTCTATAGCAATTTATCAAGACAGTTTTGTTCGTCAAATTTAAATATCTGGATTTCTTCGTTCAGCTCTATACAGTCCAAGTTGTGTGTAAAGGCAAAAGATGTAAAGAAACACAAATACAAAGTATACAGCGCTTGTTCTACTTCATAGCATTAACATAAGAATAAATTCCAAGAAATCAATAAAAATTTGAAGCGACTGGATTTTCTCTGGAACATCTGCATTTCTCCTTATAGTTACCCCACAGTGGTTCAATGGTAAGTCTGAAGACTTATAACCCTAAAAACCAGGTTTCAAGACTCGTGGTTGGCACAGCACAGATAGTACATTCTATAGCTTTACACTTAACAACAAACAAACCTTATTGTTATCTCATCCAGAAACGAAAAAGACAAAAAAATCTTCTTCATTAGACAGGTAGTGGCTCAAGATGGTTTAAAGTAAAACAGTAACATATATTTGTGAGTTTATCTATATTATATTAAACTTTGCTAACCCTAATGAAGCGACTCACTAATTTGCCCTATTCTCAAATATGCTGTATCCAGGCTCAAGATAGTGGCTCAAGATGGTTTAAAGTAAAACAGTAACATATATTTGTGAGTTTATGCTTTTAACTTTCCAGAAATATTCTGAAGATTTGCTTAGCAACAAATGTGCGTACATAGGATTGCAGGAAACATCATAATAGTATTGGTTTGTACGTTTAAGGTTGTACATAAACAGCAAAAACAAATTTAAAATTTAAGAATTTTTATTGGAAGCTCTTTTTTGTTGTTGTTGTTCAGAAACTTTTGAAATCGTTCGTTTCTCGCGAAAATAACTAAACAGCGATAAAAAGATTCAAAATCCTATATTCAATCCAAATATCACACAACGTTAATTCCCGGCCCCGAACATGCTCGGCCTGTTAGCAGTAGGGACGTTATAATGTTTTAGTCAATCTCAATTTTTGTTGGTAAAGAGTAGTCAAAGAGTTGACAGTGGGTGGAGTTGACTATGTAACTTTCCTCTAGTCCAAATTAGGGACGGCTAGTACAGATAGCTCTTAAGTACTTTGCGCGAAATTCAACAGACAAACAAATAAACAGTATGTATAAACAACTAAAGGTTAGTTTGTTATATAAATAATGAAAAATTACCTAACAATCACTTCTTTGAAAAATATTTGGTAGAATAGAACAAAAAACAACGCTGTTATTCACAAACAGCTCTATATTATAGTAAACTTTGCTAACTCTAATGAAGCGACTCACTAATTTGCCCTTTTCTCAAATATGCTGTATCCAGGACAGTTCTGAGCCTTATATTACATTTGACGTTTCTGGATTCAAAGTATGTAATTACGTGAGTGTGGTGGGTGGGGTGAATATGCCAACTATTACTTTAAAGATAGTACAAGAGCATAAAATGAACTCGGGATTTCTACGTAATATGTCCGAAAAAAACGACAATTATGTGGTGTTTCTGGAAGATCAAATATATCAAGGAAGGAGACTGACCATTAGAGCGATAGAAAGATTCAGATAATAATGCTGGGGTTTGGTTTAGCCTAGGGCATCCAGTGCCCTTCAATGTTCTTTCCTTACTACTAGGGCACCAAGTTTCAGACCACTAGCTAGCTATTACACCTCTAGGGTTATCTAAGCTCCTACAAGGGAAAGGATATGTTGAAAATAAGGTTTAAACTGGTGTTAACGAATGTCTTGGTAAGTGGAACTTATGAAGATTGATGTTGCCCAGGCGAAACTAACGTGTCTCGATTCTGGTCAATATGTGAGAATTGTGACAAACATTTAGGTCAAACTGTTCTGTCCAGAAAAAGGCTTTCTGTACCCACCACCTAATGACTATGAGGATAAACCAACAAATGAAAACTTTATTTGGTCAATAAGGTCATAAATATGGTGTAATTCGTTTCACTGGTGTCAATTCCAATTGTGTGAAAATTGTTCTCCCAGATGAAACGCACTTTTCATAGGGACGGGGGGGGGGTGAGTAATTATACAAACATGAGACTGTCCTTATTTCATTATATTAGCATAGAAATAAATTTGTATGTATCTTTTATTGTCTGTATTAATGAACACTAATCTAAGAAAGACTAGAAACAAGACAAATACCAATGAGCCAATAGTTTACTTTCAGGCACGCGTGCTTATTAGTCTTCTTTGGTAAGGTTTCGGAAGAGCTGCTTACATTCGGCTTACACGCAGTCATTGATAAGAGCGAAATAGAAAATACCTATGTCATTGAAAAAAAAAACTGTTACTTTAATGTAGTCACACAGTATTAGATTTATGTTAATATACGAACTGTGATGATTGCTCGTTCAACGGAGTGGCCTCTGTATGGTACAACAAGATTTAACTGAATGTTCTTTGTAAGACAAAACAAGATTCAACTGAATGTTCTCCTTAAGACACAAGATCTAAGTGAATTCTTTTTGTAAGAAACAACAAGTTTAAACTGAAAGTCCTCTGTAAAACATAAAAACTTCAATGGACTGCTTCTACGGATATTCTTTAAAAAATTAATTCCCCCTGGAGACTTAGTGACAATTCTGAGAGCTTATGATCGGGATTCGATACTCGTGGTCGATACAATACATTGTGTAACTTTGCGCTAAGCAATGACAAGTAATTCAAAACCACTGCCACTTTTAAAGAACAAATCAGAACTCATGTTGATACATTATTTAAGATTTGCAGTCGGCTTTTCTTGTATCTGGACCTTTTGAATGATGGTTGACCTAAATCAAGGCTATTCCTACAAAGTTATTGAGTGTTTTATGTAACATAAAAAAATAGTACATTACTCCATATACGTTTTTACTCAAAAACATTCCCACATTGTGTTGTCCTAACTTCTGAATGTTCGCTGTATGTTGGTCCACCTAAATATCTTCGTCAACAATTTTATGTCCTAACATCTAAATGTTCGGTGAGTAATGGTCTGATTTGTTCAATCGGTTCTTGTCCTTATGTATTTCAAAGCTCAAGTTAAATTTGAATTAGCTCTCTCTTAAATAAGAGGAAACAGAGGGGGAACATGTGCGGATTCCATATCGAGGTGGAGTCGGAGGAGGGGCGCTTTATGCCATGATGAAGGAGCGGCAGGCATTACCTTCTACGGAGGCACAGCTAACCAGAAATTGATTCCATGATCATGATATTATATTTTTTCTTTCGGTCACGCCAACAGAGCTATATCTTGTAACTGATAATCTTAACCAGTAGTTACAAAGCACGAAATTTCAAATCATTATTTAAAGAACAACGAACTTAGTCCAAAAAAATCATAGAGGTCAGTATAGAAACTGCGGCAAAAGCCAACAATGAACCTACAAATCGAACTTTAAGCCTAAAGTGTGTTTCATTGCGTAGCGACTAGAAGAGATAAAGTAAGGCTGGATCTACGTAATATATACCTATTGTTGTTAAAATGTGGCACACAAACCCTGAACGTGGGCCTAAATTCTACAGTGAAATCAGAATGTTATAAGACCAATATTTGGCTAAAACTTGCTTTCTCATAAAGAGTGCCTGGCCTGGTGGTTAGAAAATTCGATTCCAAATCTAAGAGTCGCAGGTTTGAATCATAACATCAGCCGTTGCGGCGTTATAATGTGGAGGTCTATCCCACTATTCGTTAGTAAAAGAGTAGCCCAAGAGCTGGCGGTTGGTGGTGTTGACTAACTGCCTTCTCTGTAGTCTATCATTTCAAAATTAGGGACGGCTAGTGTAGATAGCCCTTGAGTAGCTCAGCGCGAAGTTCAAAAACAAAGAAACTGATAATGAGTAAATGTTTCTTAAACTTCGAGAAGAGTGAGCAGATTGCCAGACAGCTGTGAAAAATATCCAACTGGAAATAAATCAGAATATTTCTAGTAAAGTAGACGAGTCAAATACTTTAAAAGATGTTTAATATTAATGGTTTTAGAAACACGACGTATTTTCCCGTACATATTATTTGTAAAGCACAAATTAAAATATGAAGAAGTAATATATTGAAAAAATTAATTGTCATTAATAAGTACAACACCTTTAAAAAACAAAAACAAACAAAAAACAAACGAGAAAACTTCCATGAATCCTCCTGAGGAGAATGGAAATATTACCAACAACTGATGGATGAAGTGAAACACATGCAAGCAATTTTGAGGCAATGTGCCCTCTAACACCATTTTTTCACCTATAATTTTTTAGATGAGAAAAGGCCTGACAGCCTAAATCACTTAATTTAACAAGTGGCCATCTTTCTTATTCACTTTTAATTCTGAAGGTTAAAACCACTTTAGCTGCGACTTTGAACTTCGACCTGTAGCCACAAAGGTTAATTAATCAGATATACGTGAGGTTATGTATTTAGACATGCGCGGAACAGTACATACTAGAAGATCGACGTAACGGTGGTTAACGGCTGTCTACAGTTTGTTGGATAAAAGTACCCCTGTATTTTAGTTGTGTGGAACCAGAACAGTACATATTAGCAGGCGGACGTAACAGTGGCTAACGACTGTCTACAGTTTCTTTTAGAGTAAAGTGTTCTTTAACTGTTTAACAAAAATAGTGGAATAAAAATCTATCACGGAGGAGAAAGTTAGGAAAATCTTACCTGTATTTCCTGGATCAGCTCCGTTTCATCCAGCAAGATAACCTTGCAATGACGTGTCTTCGGTCTTTCTCCGAAACACTTCATACTTTCGGTTTTTAGCCTCAAAAGATGCTGAGAAATAAGCCTCCTCTCAAAAACCAAACCTTTAGAAACTCATTAATAAAAGATACAGAGTTAATTTGTAAACTTTGTTCTATTAGGTGTCATTACCTTAAAGAGTAAAAAAAGGGAGGTTTATAAAAATAAAAACATTAAAGATCTCTTTTTCCGGGCTACAGTTTGATACTCAGAGAGGTTTACAATAAACGTCGAATTTCGTCATTCAGAGTAGCATGACCAGCGTACCTTGAGTTCTCAACAAAAACTAGCACTCGCGTCTTGCCCCCTGAACTTCTCGATACTCAAGAACAAGGCCTCTCCACACTTGTAGCCCACGAGGTTTGGTACACTTCTTATCTGCTGACATGATATTTAAACGCCCGGCTAAGCGCCTATAGATGGGCCAATCACATTTCAAATGACGAGTCGCCATCTAGTAGTAGAACTGATAGTTATTTAAAAATTAAACCACATTTGTATATAAAATACTAGTACAAACACTAGGAGACTAGCTTAGTCGCTTTTATTGGGCTCTTAAGTCCTACACAGTTTACTAGTATTTGTGGTAATATTTTGTTTCAAAGCGTGTGGTTTATTTGTTACGCAAATTTAACTAAAATACACGGTGGTGTTACATTATGAGTAAACAAGAATCATATCTATGGTGGTTGTTCATTATGAGTGAACAAGCATCTTATTGTTACGCCTCTGTTCGTTCGTTAATTTCCCGTATAATTTCTTTCCGATGAAACTTTAGCGATACAAGTCCTTTCTTAAATAAAACTAATTTATTCTTTCTCAATACAACTTTGAAATACACTTTATTTCCACAGTCACGCTATAACTTAAACAAACGCTATAATTCACCACGAACGAACGATTCACGCGCTTGACTCAATTGTCGTCTCTGTCTCTGTCTGCAATTCAATTCC